ACAGTATGGCCATGTGCCCAGAATGATGTTCAGACAGTGAAAGATCACATATATGGCAGTGGTTGGATAAATTATAATGGAACTGAAACATTCCTATTGCCTAGGTGATAGCACAGTGGACACACTACCACGTGTACGAGGCCACTGTTGGCATGAACCCTCCGATTGCCCAGGAGTGCTGTGAGAATACAGCAGACACAGTTATGCATGGGATGCAATGCTTGGTAATGATAATGGCTGACCATGTCCGTGGTTTGTGTATTTACCACCACACGCTTTTACCTGCTATTTTGGAGTAGAGTCCTATTATAAAAGTGTCCTATAAACAGCCGGTATGGTGACTCCAGCCACAGCTTCAGATGTCTCTTGCTTATTGCATCAAGGGACCAAGCTGAGTAAGTAGCCTGCAGGCTCAGGGTCTGTGAGGTGCACTCTGCAGTGTTCTCCTGGCCCAAGCATTTCTCAGAACCTGTCCCTGTTCCCAAGCGGTTCTTGACTGTAATGACGATGTGCCCAGCGCTTATTAAGTGCCAAACGCTCTACCTATTTTAAACTTTGCCACAACTTTAGGATCTATTTTAAGATAAATAATAGAGAGAAATAGATTAGAAAGGGATTAAAGCGGGATTCAAACTAAGTTTGAATGTCACCCCTGAGCACATTTCTTAGCACACCCAATCTTAAGAAGGACCTCCTTGAGAAACGGAGACAAGAATTGCTTTTTGGGTGCTGCAAAAGTAGAAGGAGGTGATGTCTATAAAGTACTCAGCCTGATCAGCCACACAAGTCCCCATAAGGTTGCATTGCGAACTCAGATACAATGCAATCAAAGGGATTAGGATACAGACGGGGAAGGGCCCCTCCCCCGGCCTGGCTCCTCCAGCCGACCCACATGCCTGACATTCCAGCCGCTGCCCTTTGGGGAGTCCAGGTTGACATGCAGATTTTATCGGGTGCTGTTTAATGGCATTCATTTAAGTTATTAGCACCTCACCCCTAATCAGATTAACCTCAGTTGAAAAAGAAGTACTGGGCCCGGAAATGTGAGGGAAAAGGTAATGAACAGGGTTCACGGGACACATCTTGGAGGTCTTTAACCCTTGCAGGGTCTTGCAGAATTTGGGGGAGGGACAGCAAAGGGGCCTGTAGAGCTGTGTGCGCAGCAGCGAGCCCGGGCTGTGTGACACAGGGGCAGGAGCTTGTGCACTTAGCCTCAGCGTGCACTGAGGCTGCTGTTGGGATGAATGCGCTTTTATTCAATGGTTTATTTATGTTTCCTGGGATTTGGTCATCCTGTCATTTCTCAATCCCAACATTTTGGGGGAGGCACGAAGGCTTGTATGCGGGGGTCTTTTTTTAAGGAATGGATTTTGAATTTTTGATGCAGGCTTACTTTTACAGAAAAATGGAGCAGAGTTCTGTACTTCCTCTCCTCTGCAGCCCATTATTAAGGTGGCCTTGGTGCGATACATTTGTTGCAGCTGAGGTGCCGCCATTGATACATTCTTACTGACTAAAGCCCACCTGCTCCCCTGGGGTTCCCTGCATTCTTAAGGTTCTACCTAATGCATGGTGTTAAGGCCCTGCCCTTCAGCTTCCTACGGACTCCAGTTGATTCAGGTCCTTATCCTCAAAGGACCAGCACTACTGCCTTCCAGCTGAGCCCTGATTGGTAGCGGCTGTGTGTGGAAGAGGCTCTGAGGGTCTACCTAAGCCCTGTCTTTACTCCCAGCCCCATTTATCTTTCCCTTGCCCTTTTGCTTTTCTTTTATTGACATTTCTTCCTCTTCGAGTTTCAAATATTTTGGTAAGTACTTAATAAAAGTCTTAGAGGTCTTGGCATTGAGTGTACAATTGACTGATTTGTGGAAGTTTAGGGAAAAAAAAGTCCTAATGCTTGGGGCACATCCTGGTCCAGCTGAATCAGATTCTCTGCAGGCGAGGACCAGGCAGAGGGGCTGATCCACCATCTCTCTTGTGACCCAAAGGGCAGCCACTGTCCCAGGCCCTGGACCTGTAGTGATTGATGTATTCTCCTTCAAGGAGTCTTGCTCTAGGCAGGAAAAGACAACAGGCTTCTCTTTCCAACGGAAGATGGCTGTGGTGAGAGCAATCATACCCTAACACAAGTGCACAGAGTGACCATTACAGGGTTTTGGGGGCCACCCTGTTTGGAATAGTGGAAGGTGGGGAAACCTAACTGCATACTCATAGCAGGTTGTCATAGGGAAGCTGCACCTCCAGGCTCCAAAGCTTACCCAGCAACTCAGGTGAATGAGGCCAGCGTGTACACATTGACACACCGAGAGAGATTAAAGTAGCCCCGGGCTCAGTGCAGTGCAATCCACCACGATACAGCGGGGGAACAGCAGGTGCAAGGACCTGAGTTGCATCCCCAGAAAGATGGAAAGAAGGAAGACAGGGAATGAGGAAGAGGGAAGGAAGGGAGGAAAGAAGAGAGGATGGGAGGAAAAAGAATAGAATAGAAAAAAGGAAAAGAAAACAAAATGCATGGCAAGCTGGGTTTGCGCATGGGTGCTGACCAGCACGAATGCCTGACCTACAGAGACGAAGCTGGTACATCCAGGATGTCAGCTTTGCTGACACAGGGAAAACATCTCCAAGGAGTGGTTAAGCGGAAAATATCAGGACCAGAATAGCATGAAGAGGATCACCCCTTTATGTAAATAAAAAACAAGCCTTAAAATAGACATGCGTGTACATATTGGGCAATAAACATGGGGACAAGGAGAACTGAATCTGTGCAAGATTACCTCTGGGGAGGGGATTGGGCCCCCAAAAGACTGGACTGGTGAAAGGACACTGTAAACTTTTGCTGATGTGATTTTGTGTTATCTGCAAAAAAAAAAAAAAAAAAAAAAAAAAAAATGTATGGTGAACATATGTTCAGATATTATAAGTATAATGAAAAACATAGGTTTTTTGTTTTTACAAGAACAAAAACACCATTAGGTGCCAAAGTTCTGGGTTAGCTGGAGCCCTGGATTCATCACTTAACTAACCAGGTTTGTCACATAATCTTTATGTACCTCAGTCTCCTCACCTGTGAAATGGGATAATACTATTTCACAGTCCACAGGGTAATAGTAGAGATCTGTACTGGTGGGAGGGCTTGTTCATTGGTGGTACCTTCCATTTCTAGTTGAACCCATCTGCTCCTTATTCCTTTAACTATCTGTCATCAAATATACACATCAAATGTGTACTAAGCAGGTGCTGAGGGCTGAAACTTGTCTTCCTAAAAGCTATGTTTAAATCCTATCCCCCCACCAGTGTGTGATCTGATCTGATAGTTAGGGACAGTGCAGATGTGATTAGTCAAGAGGGTGCCATACTGGAATAGGATAGATCCTGAACCCAATAGGACTAGGAATCTTACAATAGAAAGGAAAGGAAAGGACACAGAGACATGAAGGGACTCTGTTGGGTAAAGGTGCAGGCAGGTGATAAATGCTACAATTTCAGGCCAGTGAATGCTAAGGTTTCTAACAAATCCCTAGGGTCAGGAAGACGTGTTGGAGGGGCATAACTCTGGACACCTTTCTCTGAGACTTATGGCCTCCAGCATCAAGAGTTGATGGAGTTCTGTCTTCCTAAAGTGCCCAGTTGATTGCATCAGTCCTAGAAATCTAATACAGTGAGCACGTGGGGAGGTGAGAAAGCACACTTGAGCTTTGGAATCAGATGGATCTGGGTTTACATTCTGTGATCACTGTACTGCCAGTTGTGTGATCCTAGATCCCTAACGTGCCTGAACCCTATTGTCGCTGATAGAGACCAAGGTCAAAGTATGTTTGCGGCACAGAATCACCAGTGCCATCAAGTGAAATAACACAAAATACTGATCACAGTCCTAAAATCCTTAGGACATGGGAGACACTGGGACATCAGATTCCCCATGAGTACTGCATGCTAGGTAAGCGCTCCACCACAGAGCTGCATCCCAGGCACTGGAGCACTCTTCCTAAGTCTTGTGTTAGACATATAAGTGTTATGAAATGTAGAAGAACACTGTTCTTGAAAGAACAAAAGCTGGGGCAAAGCTAAGTAGATCAAATTCATTATCTCAATTTGAAATTTTTGTCTACATCTTCCTGTGGGATGCTGACATCTTCCACTTGGTTTATCCAAGCAGAAAACAATATGTACCCTGGTGTGGTGGGTGCCTTGTTGGAACCCTGGGGCAGGGACTATTTTAGCCTCACTTTATTTGATTGTAACATTTTTCATTTTTTACTTTAAATAGGATAAACCCAAGGGAAATAAAATAGAATAAAAGCAATTAAAATAAACCAGTATAAGAGATACAGAACTTCAAAACCGTATGAAATCAACAGTAGTTACCATAATGCCTTTTGTTGTCTTAAAAGTAGCTGCAGATACCCCTGGACATAGTAAAAATTGAACGGAACAGAATAGAATAGAAACAATAAAAACAAAACAATGAATGCAATAAAGGACATCAAAACAAGCCAATAGTAAATCCAAAGTGGTTCCCATAATACGTCTTACTATCTTTTAAATAGCTGCTCATGCCATCAGATTGAACAGAAACAAAACAAAAGAGAAGAAAACCCAACCCAACAAAACAATGACAATGATATGGTTTCCAGGTGGGGATCGCCTCCTGATGAGGCCCAGTTCTCCCCCCTACAGTCTGTGAATGGCGCGCTGACTCACAGAGAGAGGTTTGGGGCTGGCTCAGCCTCACTTTATTTGAGAAATGAAAGGACATCATTTCTTCTTGCATCTAATCTGAGCACAGAACTCTGCACTTCATCCCCAGTCCTGGATACTGGGGAGAAATAAGTGGCAAGATGCTCCACCTCTCACAGGACCTTTGTCCCTGCTGCCTTCCAAGGTGTAGGGAACTCCTGGGTGCTATTTCCAATGCTCTCATCCCAACTTGTGTAGCAAGCAGGTCTGCCCAGGCTCCACCCCAAAAGATCTAAGTTCCCCTAACCTGTTTCTCTCTGCAGCTCTGGGCTTCCTGCTTCCCAACTGGGACCCAGGCATCCTGGAGAATCCACTCACCCTGGCTCAGCCTCTAGGGCCACCCGTGGGCAGTGGCATACAAGAGTTTGGGGTAAGTGCCCAGCCTTTGTCCTCCTGCGCTGGGCTCTGACATGCACTCATCAGCTCCTCAAGGTTGCTGTGGGATCTAGTGCTATTGTTTTTAGTAGTGGCCAACACTAAGCATTCTTGTATTCTCTCTTCCCTGCTCCCTGAAATCCCATTTTCAATAAGTATTTGTTTCAAACTCTCCTTTTGGGAAAATACGCATTGCAGTCAATTTTCAAGATGGAGAGCAAGTATCTGGAAATAGAAGCCATCACCCCAGCTCATAGCCACGTCCACCACAGCCACCACACGCCTCGGACAAGCACACAAGCTCAAGCTTCTGGTCTCTGCTCCAGCTGCCAGCATCCCTGCCAGGTGGGTCTTGCTACTCCATCCTCCAAGTCTACAACACCTTGGTAATTACTGCTGTTGAATCCCACCAGAAAATCCCAGTAAGGGAAGCGCTTTTGTTGTTGTTGTCCTTTGCTAGTTCCCGCAGCCTAGAACAGGTCTGAGACAGCAGATGCTCCCCAAAGGTTACATCTACTCCTACAGCTTTCACTGACAGCACAAGGGATGGTGGCCGAAGGCAGAACTTACATCCCGCTCTAGTGGCCTTGGCTCTGGTACCCAAGCCTGCTGGGGTGCTCGCCTTGTCCTGGGGAAGTTTGGGGAGATCTGTACACTTTCCTCAGTGGTTGCTGATGTCTACCTTCTTCTCCACCACTTCAGAGGCTTCCTAGCAAAAAATGTGGTCCCTTCTACCTTTCTCTCCCTACCAGGAATTATCCTTTTCAAAGAGGGCTCTTTTCTTTAGTAAGTTTGGTGGAGAAGATGCTGATGATTTGTGTTACACAAATCATTTCTTCCTGAAGATGTGCCATCTGCCTCAGGCAAAATGCAGTGACAAGGTCAACCTGATCCCAGCTCTGAACCAGTAAAAACTTAGAAACCTGTCCTGGAAGGATACATTCAGAAACGGAAGATGAGAAAATGTTCATGACATAATATTAAATGAAATAACCAAGGTATACGTACTTTTTTATTTGACATTGTGTCTTGATGCTTTTTCTGAGTCTGGACAAATAGGTGCCTTATGCTTTTCCTGTTCTTTCTTTTTCTTTATTCAGAATAAAATCTCTCTGTATTACCCAGGTTGGCCTCAAATTCTTAGACTCCAGTGATGCTTCTGCCTCAGCACCTAGGCTAGCTGAGATTACCGGTGCACAGTACTGGGTCAGGTTCAGTTCCATAATCTTTAATAGATGGTGTATAGCGTTCCATTGTATGGATGCATCAAAATTTAATGACTGCTCCTCTGAATAAAGTTATTCACATGTGTGAGCAAACTAGCAGAATAGATGTCTAGAACTGAAATCATTGACTCAAGGAGTATGTGAATTTGGAGTTTTGACAGTTTGTCAAATATTACTGGATAGAAGATGCATCCGTTTGCACTCCTATTAGCAGTGTATGGATGTCATCAGTACTGTTAGTTAATTAATTTGAAAAAATCTACCATCCTCATTGGAAGGAAAGATGGTTCTCTGTAGCTAGAATTGCATTTATCTTAATTTTATTGAGGTTGGCATCTTTTCATGTATTCAGGAACTATCTGGATTTATTTTTACATAAACTATTTCTATTCTTTGTCCACTTTCCATTAGGTTATAGATTTCACCCTTTTATCATTCATGTCAAAGAGCCTTTGCCAATCACGAGTTATAGATATTCTTCCCAACTAGTTGTTTATATTTGGACTTACATGAAGGATTAATAGTGTGTTATTACTGTTATTTTGTTGAGGTTGTTAAAAGTTTTTATAGGTTATATTTCATTGCTTTTTAAAAAATATCTCTAAGTTTTGTTTTTTATTTCACATGAAGTTATAAATACATTACTGTTAGGAACTTTATGATTTCATTTAAATCTTTTATGCATCAGAATCTATTTTGGAGCTACTTACAAACTAGTGATCGCTTTCATCACTTCTTCAGATAGATATCCGCCTAAGCCAGTGTCATTAACTTAATATGAAACATTTATAAATTATACATAAATTGCATATAAATTACAAATAAAGTAATATGAAATTAAATATAATTACATATAAATTAATATGAAAACTTTCTCATATACTTAAACATATTTCTGAATATTCCAGTTGGCTTTAGTGATCTTTCTATTTAGATTATTATGATTATTGAGGATGGATTTTTAGACATGGTAATTTTAATCTTTTTTGTTACTCTAATTTTTCCAGAAATTTCCTGGCTATTCTTGGTAATTTTTCCATGAGACATTTAGAACTGGCTAGTTTGGTTCCCCTGAAAATACCCCTCAGTATCTTTATGGGAAGCCCATGGAATTTATGGATGCCCTGCCTTTGACAGCTTTATGACACTGAAAAGCTGAGAACACGGAGTGCTTTCACCTTGTCAAACCTTCCTTCGTGTCCCTCAGTACCATTACAATTCCAGACTATAAAGCCTGTACTTTCTCATTAAGTTTATTCTTAGGGATGTTTTTTCTTGCTGCTATTTTAAATAGGATATTTTCTTTCTTTATATCTTCTAACCAGATTTTGAAAAAAGACAGGAATCGTGTTTGATTTCCATGTACAAAAATGGGATATATTAAAATTTGCTTTAGTTTATAATGCTTCATTTGTTTCTTTTCCCAGATATGTGGGTAGGGCTGCAAAATAGATCTCTGTGTCAAATCCAGCTGAGGCCCATTTTTGCACTGCCAAGAAGAGTATGGTCTAGAGGTTCATCCACTTATCAATAAATATCTCAAGTTTATCCTTCTTTATGTCTGAGTAATACTCCATGATTATTATTATTATTTTGTAAAAAAAATTCCTACATCTTTTTTATCCATTCATTGGTTGATAGGCACTTGGGTTCTTCCCAAGATTTAGCTATTGCAAACTATGCCATTATACACATAGGTGGGCACATATCATTGTGGTATAATGTTTTTAATTATTTTGGGAAAATAAGGAAGGGGAATAGTTGGGTCAAATAGGAATGAAGTTTTTTAGGGAATCTTCACACTGATTTCCACAGTGGTTGAACCAGTCTGCCAACAGTAGAGAAGTGTTTCCTTTTGCCACAGCCCCACCAGCATATGTTATTGGTTGGTATTTTGATAATAGCTGTTTCTTCTGGAATGAGACAGAATCTCACTGTTGTTTTAATTTGCATCACTTGAATGATCAGTGATACTGAACATTTTTTCCAGACCTCATCATATTAAAATTTTTGCACAGTAAAAGAAATCACCAACAGAGTGAAAAGATAACCCACAGAATGGGAAAAAATTTTACCAGTTACTCATTAGAAAAAGGACTAATATCTGGAACACATAAAGACCTGAAAGAAATTAGATGTCCTAAATTCAAAACCCAGTCTAAAAATGGGCATCTGAAATGATTACACAGTTCTGGGATGAAGAAGTACAAATGGCAAATACATAATATGAAAATAAGATGTTTATATCTTAAAAGAATTATTTAAGATTTAAGAATGCTACTCAGTGGTAGCAGTCTGAGTCCTGGGTCCCATCCCCAGCACTGCAAAAATGAATGAATGAATGCATGGATGGATGGATGGGTGGATTTTTAAAAAGGATGTGTGACAGAGGCTGTAGGCAGCTCATGAAATCTAAAATATTGGGACTTAGGGTGCTGTTCAGTGATAGGGTATTTGCCTAGTATATGCAAAACTCTGGCTTAAATATCTACCAAAAAGTAATATCAAAAAAATATCTAGGGACTGGAGGTTTAGCTCAGCGGCATAAGCGCCTGCCTTGCAAGCAGGCAGTCGTGAGTTCGATCCCCAGTACCGATAAAAAGGAAAAAGACAAAAAAAAAAAAAAAAAAAAAAAAAACCAAAAAACTAAAATATTTACTATGGTATCATTGTATGGAGGAAAAGGACATGTTAATACCCTGAATTGATCATTTGACATTTTACACATGTATCAGATTAATATTATGTGTCTCATAATATATAAAAATATCGTATGTCAAGAAAAAAATTTAAACTTTACTAAAAAAATTTTGCCTTTTTTTTGTTTTTCATATCAAGGCTTGAACTCAGGCTCTTGCACTTGCCAGGCAGGTGCTTATGCTCCTAAGCTATATCCCTGGTCCCTCGTTTGCCTATTTTTGAAGTATGCAGTTACACTGTTTATATACAAGGACAATGGATGTATATATTTTTGGTTTTAAAATGTCTATTTCTGTTTCTTCTTTAATCGCATTTTTTGGTACCTGTTGACAGTAGACATCCTTGTCCTGTTTCTGTGTGTAACAGGACACCTCCTGTTACTGTTTCTGTACTTAGGTGCACTTTTTTAGGTCCTGATGGGTGTACATAACGTGATAAGAGGGAACTCGCCTACTCTTATGAAGCATTTCATGAGAAAATGTATTTAATTTGACATCTCAGCATCTATGTAGAATTTTGTCATTTAATCTATCAAAATAAGGAATTATACTAAATATTCTCCAATAAAGAACAAATAACTTTACAAGGTTTATTATGAAGAGGTGGAGCCCCCTATTCCACCATTCATTCTATCTCTCAATCCCTAGATGTAGTCACTTTTTATTATTTCATTATTTTAGCTATTTACATCCAGGTGTCTCAGCAATAATTTATATCTCTACTTCTTAAATTTCTGTGTAAATTCTTATAACAGAATTTATTTTCTTCCTTGCAACTCTGCCACAACACACATGTATATCTTTGGCTTCACTAGATTCTCAATACAGTTACAGTTTGCTTAAGTCAAGTATGATTCATAATTTATAGTACAATAATCTAATATATTAAAAGCTTTTTATATGTTTTTGTTTTTTCTATATAGCAACTGTCTTTTTAGTTGTTTCTTTGTTTAGTTTTCTATGTACTTATGGCTAATATATCCCTCTACCCTTGAGTGTGTTCAGACCTGTCAAATGTCTGTCACTGCCAGTCTCTGGAAGACCTTGCTCCTGGGGCCTTCTGACCTCCTCCCATAGTTACTGGTTCCTTCCTAGCTTGCTGCACAAGGTATTGGAAGAACTGTTATTACGGTGGTCTCTTCCTACCCACAGGAGCCATCTCCATGGTCCTTAGCGGATGTGAAGCTATTGCTGTAACCAATTCTATACATACTACATTTTTCCTACACATACATAACTGTTGTTTATAGGTTAGGTACAGTAAGACATTAACGACAACAATAATAAAATAGAACAATTAAAAATATACTACAATAAAAGTTACATGAATGTAAGTCTTTCTCTGAACTTGATTTACTAATTTTTTGAGGTGTGGTAGGAATTGAAGCCAGGTATTTGCACACCCCTGCTTTCCAACAATCAACACTCTCAGCCTGATTTATTGGTATATTTAAAAATTTTCATGTGTGTGGTTATTAGAGACCCCTGCAATGATTTTTTTTTTTTGTCTTTTTCCTTTTTATCGGTACTGGGGATCGAACTCACAACCGCCTGCTTGGAAGGCAGGTGCTTATGCTGCTGAGCTAAATCCCCAGCCCCCCTGCAGTGATTTCTAACTGTGTGTGTTCAGGTTCATAAAGGGTACTGATCTGAATTTTCTTACAATGTCTTTTTCATGCGTTGTTACCAAAAAGGCAGATGCTAAAGATAATAATTTAAGAAATGTACAAAGTTTCTTTAAAGAAAACATGTTAGAAAGAAAAAAAAAGACATTGAATAGATTGTAAATGAAAACATTTCTTGAAAGAAGTAAATATACTGATTGATTGAAATCATGTTCAAGGAAAATTGTTGGAAATAAGCAGTCCAAACTAATAGATAACTCAATAAAATTACTCAATTCTAGTATTAAGAATTTTTAAATATGAATAAGCAAAGTAGTAAATAATATAATGGACCTCCAAACAAATATTTGAATCATGCATGAGAACACTATCACACTGGTTTAAGACTTCAACAATAATATCCTAGCATTACAGAAAATTAAAACAAGGTTTATAAAATCTCCAGGATAAGTTGTCACTCAAAATTGTATACACAAAGATTGTATACACTTTACATAAAGGCCCTGACAAATATTTTTAGGTACATCTGATTTTGGAAATATACTTAAAGTATATTTAAGCTTAAAGTATTTAA